AAAAAAAAAAAAAAAAAAAAAAAAAAAAAAAAAAAAAAAAAAAAAAAAAAAAAAAAAAAAAAAAAAAAAAAATTAAAGAAGATGACATAGGATAGTGGAGTTTTCTTTGAATTAGTTAAACAAATTGTTCTAGCTATTTGACTAATATAACAAGTCATATTTAAGTACTCTAGAAGTAGTTATATGATGTCAGACTTAGGAAATTAAGTAGATTTTGTAATTATATATAACTTGGTTATAGCCATAGTTAACAACTTAATAAACTTCATGACATAACTATCAAAAGAAAAATAAAAAATTAATAATAGTTTTTTTTTTTATTTTTAAGGTGGCTTATATTGCTAGATAACTTTTATTAATTTAATATACAAGATTATATATAGATAATTCTTACAGTTTGTAATTACATGAAGAGTATACAACAAGCCACTTGTATAACTTTAGTTATTGTTTAATTTAAGTAGTCTGCTACACAGGTGATAGACCACCTAATTAGTTCTATACTATGCTACTATATCTGTAACCTACTTGTGAGTTACCTATTTAAACACTCTGTTCAACTAACCTATACTGTTACAAACTAATGTTACTGTAATATCTAACTACTTAAGCTAGCTAGCTTATTACAGATCCATTTTTTAACTCCAGCTTAGGTCCTCTCAGGATACTTATTACTCAACATATTGTAAGCCTGCAAAGCTCCAGTTAACCTTGAAGCAAACCTACTAGAGCAGCCTGTACCTATTTTATGAATTCATCTAGCTTAGATCTTTGTAGATATTCATATAACCCTAGTTCCTATCATAGCTCTCTACTAGTTTTCTGTTTGCTGATTTCTTCAGATATTTTATAAGGTAGATTCTCCTAATCCAGTTAGCCATCAAGCCAAGTTGGTGTTGCTGATTCTTCTTGTAGAACAGACTTATTCGCACCTCTCTCGATCTATATTTTTGGAGTATAGTTTCTTTTCTGAATTAAGCATTAGCTAGTATAACTGTTAAAAATATACTACTTCACTTACTCGAGATTTTTACCATGCAGGTCCTCTGCCTGTAAATCCTATCAAGATTTATTCATGTAATATTATGTCTCTCTAAACACTTCATCATACTTCTAATATCCAAATAATATTAGTATAATAGATTTACAGAGTAACAACCCCAGAAACGAATAGGGTTTACTATAAGTTAGGTACAAAGGTCCAGGTAATTATTCAAATTCATTGATAGTAGGATTTGAATCCCAGACCTCTTGTATGGTAGTCTGGCAACCTAACTACTACACTAAGATTACCAGATCTAAAAAATTAATAATAGTTAAAATATAAAGAAATATTATATTAATAATAGTTAAAGTCTAGTAATTAATAAACTTATATTTTAAATATTATTATATCACAGATTATGAGATATTTTTAGTAACTGTTAAGAGATAGTTTGACTTTGAAGTATATAAAAAATAGTAAATTTTATAGTAAAAATAGTAGAACTTAATATAGTTTTTCTATAATAGTGGAATAGGGTTTGCTAATATACAAAAGTATTTTATTACAAAGTAAACTTTTTTTGAGCTTTTAAGAAAATTGTAGAGATAATTATTCTTATTTTAAGATAGTAAAATTATTACAAACTGTCTAATAAATTCTGAGATATTTGTATTTTTTAATTATTTACTATGAGATTTTTTTTTTAAGAACTAAAATATATGCTATTCTATTTTATAAGACAACTAATAAATACTTGCTGATTTTTACTGTAAAATTTATACCTTTTAACTGTAAACTACCTTTTACTAGTAATTTGAACTGATTAGATTATAATTAGTATTTAAAATTTAATATTCTCATTATTCTTAATGAATACTAAAGTTATTTTAAAAATATCAATATTTAAATTGAAGCACTTCAAGAACACTGAACTCAGTGATTATTATGAATTATATCATCTTCGAAATAATTACATTAATTTTGATTAGTCAGAAAATATAAACAAAATTATATAGTACATATCAAATTACATAACATATGATATGTGATAGTATATGTAACTATTATACATCTACTATAAAATTCAAACTAAAAGTATTATTAATAAACTTTAAAGATTAAGTTAGATGGCTATGTTTTGTTTTTTTTTTTTTTATCCTTTTGGTATTCTTTCTTTCTTTATACTAACTATATTATTTTATTCATTTTAGTAGTACTGTTGTGCTTTGTTTATTGATTTCTGTTATTTTGGAATTGGTTATTTATTTTCACTAATTAACAAATATTCTATATCACTTATTAATACTACCTTTTGTTAGTATAAAGATTAAGTTGGGTAGTTATGTCTTAATTTTTTTTTTTTTATTCTTTCATTATGCTAACTATCACTTGCTATTTACTGATTCCTATTAATTCAGAATTGATATGTTTTTGAATTTCTGCTAATTAATGAATAATCTATATTAGTGTGAAGGTTAAGTTAGTGGCTATGTCTTGTTTTTTTTATTTTTATTTAGATTTTCTTTCTTTATACTTTATTTTATTCATTTTAGAGGCACTATCATCCATTATTTACTGATTTCTATTAATTGAGAATTAATATATTATTTTTGAATTTTTACTGATTAATAAATAACTTTAGTATGAATATTAAGTTGAGTAAGTAGTTTTATCTTTTTTTTTATTTTTTTTATTCTTCTGATGTTCTTTCTTTATGCTATTATTTTATTTATTTTATTAACACTATTCATTATTTACTGATTCCTATCAATTAAGAATTGATATACTATTTTGAATTTCTACCAATTAATGAATAACTTATATTAGTGTGAAGGTTTAGTTAGGTGGCTGTATTCTGTTTTTTTATTTTATTTTTATTTTTCTGATATTTTTGTGCTAATCATATTACTTTAGAGGTATTTATTTGATATTAAAAACTACTACTGAATTTTAGTTCTAGCAATAAATGATCTTTATATTCATAGACTATAAAATGATTAATATGAATTAAACAATTTGAAGAACAATGCATAATAGTAAATAACTACTTATATACTTGATTTGAACTTGGTTTGCTTTTTTTAATTTCAATAATTAATAATATTTACTATACTTATGCACTAGACAAATTATTAATATGAATAAAATTATTTGAATAGTAATATGTAATGGTAAATAAGTATTAATATTTTTGATTTATCACTTTTACTTTTTTAATTCCATTATTAATAAATATTCTTAGATGAAATGATTTATGAGAATGAAATGATCTGAAGGGCAATACATGATAGTGAAGAAGTAGGAATTAATAAATAATGCGAACTATATTCTATTAGTCCTTATATTGTTTTAGTAGTATAGTTAAACCTCTAAATACTTTACAGGAACTAAATTTTAGCAATGAACAGTAAAGAATTATACATTTATTGAAGTCATGTATATATTTGAGTTGGAATTAGTAGTTGTACATTTAGAGAGGCTTTGTATATATTTATTCATAATATTAGTATTAGATTGTTTTATCAAATATACTTATTTATAAATAGTTAAGATTTATACATTTGAATAATGCTATAAATAAATTATTAAAAAACAATATACAATAAATTATTAAATAAATTAGTTGTCATCATGCAATAATATATATGCATATGCAATTAAATTGATTAAATAAATAAATAAATAATTTTATTATATCAAATAAATTAATAATAATGTATAAATCAATTGATATAAGTAAATATCAAAATCGCAAAGATAAAAAAGTAAAGATTAAATTAATTCAATTCTAAAAATATACATTCAAATTCATAATGATAAAGATAAAATTAATTTGAACTTAAGAATATAAATATCAAATTTGTGATGATAAAATTAATTAAAATATAGTTAAGGAGCTCAGCAAATTAGTTTTATAAGTTTATGAGAAGGAGCGCCTAATTTGAATCTAATGATATGTATACCAAATTTGTAATGATGAAATTAAAGATTTTTTAACTTATACTAAAGAGATATGTACTAATTCGTAATGATAAAAAATAAAATTATTAAATTAATTTGATCATAGTTATATGTATACCAAATTATAATAAAAAAAAAAAATACTCTCATCATATGCTAATATTTCGAATATCTGTTGAAAAATAAATTATTAATAGCAATTTTTTCTATAAAAAAAGTGCTATATTACCTTCATTCTTTGTATTGATATTTATTTTCAACTTTATCTTAAATTTCTCCTAATTCACCTTTCTTATTTAATATTATATTATTTTTTTTCTCTTAATCTACTTTTTCTTGTTTAATATATCGAATTACTTTTTTTTTCTCCTATTCGCCTTTTCTCATTTGACATATTGTATTGCTTTTTTTTTTTACCTAATACATCTTTCCTGCTTGACTCGTATTGCTTCTTTCTCTAATCTACCTTTTTTTGTTTGACTTATCAAATTGCTTTTTTTCTAAATTAAAAAAAAAAATAATACAAAATAAAGAAATAGCTTTATCTTTACTTATATTAGTAAAAACTTATAGCAATATCTATTTTAAAACTCAAGACACGAAGTAAGCTATTCAATTTTTTGATAACCTTAGCATTTTACCTCGAATACTTTTATGTAAAAAATATAAGAGTTCTATACATAGATCAAAAGATCATTCTTGTAAAAATGAACAAAAATAGGCCTGTACTTCAAGAACTACTTGCAGTTATGAACAAACTCTGAGATCAGAAACTTGGCTAGAAAATTTCAAATTGTCTTTTGCACAAATCGCTAAGATTATATTTTGCTAGTTCTATAAATTACCTCAAAAATTTGCTGTTTGCGAAACTGGTGCTAGCCCTTAAACAATAGTAGATAGTATAACTTTTATTGTAATATATGTAGCATAGCATTAATAAATCAAAGTAATGAAAAAATTGGTGGTAAAGAAAAAATTGTAGAAATTGATGAAAGTCTATTTGGTAAGTATAAATATAATAAAGGAAGAAGAGTAGAAAGTTAGTATATTACAAATTATCAATTTTTTTTTTTATATACTGAGATAGCAATTATCTGCAATTGTTAATTTTTTCAATCAATTAGTTAATAATTTTTCCAGCTATACTAGTTGCAACTAATTGATTAGTTGATATCTAAAAAGTTTAATCGATTAGTTATCAACTAATTAATTTTTCTAAGGTCTAGCGATTTAGTGTAGTGGATAGGTTGTCAGATCGCCATACAATAGGTTTGGGGTTCAAATCCTTCTGTCGACACTTTGAATAATTACTCAAACCTTGTACCTAACTTACAGTAAACTCTGTTCATTTCTGGGGTTGTAACCCTGTAAATCATATTGCACCAATATTGTCTAGATATTGGAAGTGTGACGGAATGTTGAAGTTGCATTACACAAATAAATTGAGATAGAATTTATGAGCAGAGGATCTGCATAGTAGAAATCCCAAGTTAGGTGAAATAGTATGGATTTTAATAGTCACACTAGTTAATGCTTGATCTGGTAAAGATTTCTGAGTATGAAGATATAGATCGAGTAAATGCGAGTAAGTCCGTGATATTAGGTGTTATAGCAATACCAACTTGGCTTGGCAGCTAACTAGATTGGGAGAATCTGCCTTGTGAAACATTCAGAAGAATACAGAAGTCTGAACTAGTGAAAGGCCATAGCTGGAACTGGGTTTGTATGAATATCGAATAAGAGTATATGTAAGCTAGAATAGAAATATAGCGTAGCATAGTTGGGTATCATGATACCCATCTGTTAGAGAGCGTTGAAGTGGGACTTATTCAGATAAGACCTAGGCCTATAATAGTAAAGTTGCAACTAATGTCAGCTTGGTACCTTCCAATATGAAGTAGCATAGAGTTTGGGTTAACTATAAGAGTAATAGTTTCAGTAAGTGAGGTAGGGCCAGAGAGTTTAAATAGGGAATCTTCTAAGAGATTTTAGGTATAGTAGCTAGTATAGAACTTTCAAGCAGACTACTTAAAATAGACAATCTAAAATTATATGTGTGACTAGTTGTACTCTCACAATATGTATTATTTCCAAAATCTATAAAATAATAAAGTTAGCTGATAGTATTTGTATAAAGTAAAAAAAAAAAAAAAAAAAAAAAAATTTTTTTTTAAATGTTTTAATCTCTACTCATACACTTCTTAACATCCTTCTATACTTTACATTAAACTCTTCAAATCCCCAATATTATTATATACTATCATTCATAATTAGTATTTTTCTATTTATAATATATACTAACATTAAAAATATTATTCAAAAACAAAC